TCCATTCATTGTCCCTTCCCTGGGTAGCACTTACCTGTGTTTTAACCTTGCCCACACAGCCTGACCACCTAGTGAACAGTGAAACAGTTATGTTGATGCATACAGATCTAGTATATTCCCTTTAGGTACTGTATGGTATTTCATCCTATAAAATGCTATACTTTTTTTTAGCCATATTGATGGACAAGTAGGTTAATTCCAATATTATGTTGCTACAAAGAGTATTCTAGTGAATACTCATGTAAATGTCTGAATACCTGTGCAAGTGTTTTTTCAGGGGAGGGTCTTAGAAGTGAAATTCCTGGGGCATAAGGAATATGTCTTTTTCATTTTACTACAGACTTTCAAAGTATCCTTCTTGTCGGCTGTGTAAATTCCCACTCTGGTTTCTTTGGTTTTTTTTTGAGATGGCGTCTCGCTCTGTCACCAAGTCTGGAGTATAGTGGCGTGATCATAGTTCACTGTAGCCTCTAAATCGCAGGCTCAAGCAATCCTCCTGCCTCAGCCTCCTTAGTAGCTGGGACTACAGGCACACAGCACCACACCCAGCTAAATTTTTTGTTTTTTCTTTGTGGAGATGAGTGTCACACTATGTTGCCTAGGCTGGCCTCAAGCAATCCTCCTGCACTCCTGCCTCAGCCTCCCAAAGTGCTGGGATTACAGGTGTAAGCCACCACACCTGGCCTAAACTTTCACTTCTATCTGTAGTTTGCATTTGGTGTTTTTTTTTTTTTGGATAGAGGTTTTTTTCATATTGATGTATTCAAATATATTCACTCTCTTGCTTTTGTTGTCCTAAGAAATCCTTGCTCATCCCAGGGTTGTTAGTCTCTTTGTTTTTTATGCCTTGTTTTTGAAGTTTCTTTAACTGGAATTCATTTTTGTGTGATTTTATTTATTATTTTTGTTTGCCTAACCTGTCGTCCCAACACAATTCATTGAATAGTCTAGTTTTTTCCACTAACTTACAGTACTACCTCTATCATACATCAAACTCGTATATGTGTATAAGCCTGTGTCACGATTCTACACTCTTACTTTTATCTACTGTTTGCATATTCCTTCAGTAATACATGCTGTTTTAAGTACTACAGTGTTATATTAAGCTGTAATTGTATGATAGATCAAAACTTTCCACATCTAAAAAGTTGTCTTAGCCATTCTTTTACTCATTTTTGTGAATTTTAGAACATGCTTATCAAGCCTCAAGAAAAGTTATATTGGGATTTGGTTGGGATTTTATCGACTTTACATGTTAATTTAGGAAGAATTGACATCTTGAAAAATGTAGTCCTCCCATACCTAAGTAAGATTTATTTGTATCTGTTATGTCTTTTGGCACAGTTTTTTGTTTCTCCACTAAGGTCTTGTACAATTTTTATTAGATTTATTTCTGGATACTTTGTTTTTTTGTTGTGATTTTTTTTTTATTTTTAATAATTTTCCCTTAGAAAACCACCTGCATTTTGTTGCTATTGTATTCATTCTCTGATTGTTGCTGTTGTGTTGGAAAGTTATTGAATATATGTTGATTATAAATTCAGCCTCCTTAATGTTCTTTCATATTAGTTATGTTTTTTGTTTCATTTTGTGGGATTTCTTTTTTTTTTTTTTTTCCCTGATGGAGCAGGGATCTGGCTGTGTTTCCCAGGCTGGTCTCAAACTCCTGATATCAATTGATCCTCCTACCTTGGCCTCCCAAAGTGCAGGTATTACAGTCATGAGCCACCACACCTGGGCTTTATTGGATTTTGTAGGTGTGTCTTCATATCATTCATGAATATGTTTGCTTTTCATTTTTCTTTTCCAACAGTTTCCTGCATATTTCTTTTTGTCACTTAATTGCATTGGCTAGGGTTACCTTGTATGATCCTGTTTTAATTACAAGCCTTTTAATGTCTTCACCATTTAGTTTCACTTTTGTTGTAGATTCCTTTTGGCTATTCCTCATTTCAGTTTAAGGATGTTTCTTTCTATTCCTGGATTGTTAAGAGTGTACACAAAAAGGATATGAAGTTATTTAATTTTAAGAAAGTACCAATACTGTGAATAGGTTTATGCCAATAAGTTTGAAAACCTAGATGAATATTTGGATTGTTTCCTCCTTTTGACTATTATGAATAATGCACTATGAACATTTGTGTACAAGTTGTTGTGTGAACACCTCTTTTCTTTTCTCTTGGATATATACTTCATAGTAGAATTATTAGGTCAAATACTAACTGTTAACATTTTTTGGAAACTGTCAGATTGTCTTCATAAGTGTCTGTACCAATTTGCATTTCCACCAGCACCGAATGAGGGTTCTAGTATTTCCACATCCTCTCTGATGCTTGCTATTATCTGATTTTTATTCTAGCCATCCTAGTGGGTGTAAAGTAGTATCTCTCTCTCTTTTTTTTTTTCAATTGACTGGGTCTCACTGTGTTGCCCAGGCTGGAAAGCAGTGGCACAATCATGCGGGGAACGTGGCCAGTGTTCCCCGCAAAAAACTGGGTCCCTTTGGTAGAGTTGCAAGGGATAAGAAAATAATAGAGAGAAATGGAAAATGGAAGAAATAAAAGAATACACTGAGACAAAGATATAGTTTTATAAGTTTATAAAGATTATAGGCAAAGTGAGAGCTCAGGGGGCTTAGACCTCTCCGTTGGTCTCAAAAGCCCCGAATGAGGTCTTATATGGTAACTTATAGGAAATAGTGAACAATTGTCAGGGGTAACAGATTTACATAACAACAGGTAGTTCCTCTCAGGTTAACAGATTTTCAAAAGGCTTTTACAGAAGGCTTCTACAGATTCTTTAACTAATTCTATTTATGTGAACAAACGGTTACAAAGTCTTTCAAAGGTTAATTTCTAAATTCTAAGGTAAGTTTATCATTTAAACAGAGGGGTTAAACAGAGATATGTAAGCTCCATGTTTATTCGGTTATTGTGAATGGAGACAGGTAGTCTAGAGTGGTTTAAACAAAAGCTTTGCTTTTAGCCATTTGGGAAGCTGTCGTTTCCAGGAAGCTGTTTGTTCCGGAGGGCACTCCATTGTCAGCTCTCAGCCTATAGTTTTTAACAGATTCACTTGTGCTTTACAAAGCAAATCCAATTCTTTAGGTCTGAGAAACGCGGCGCCTCGTGGGATACAGCCGCTACTGCCTTTCAGAGACACCCTTCCAAGTGTAACAGCATTCGAAATGCAAACCAACACGTTCACATATTCTTTCAAGGCAAAGCTCTATAAAACTCTTAAGACAAATCCTGTCCCAAAACACGTTTAATACTAATTCATGGAGTGACACAATCATAGCTCACTGCAGCCTCAAACTTCTGGGTTCAAGTAATCCTCCTTCCTCAGCCTCCTTAGTAGCTGGGACTATAGGCCCTTGCCACCACACCTGGCTAAAAGTGTAGTATCACATCCTTGTGTTGTTCTGCATTCCCCGATGACTGATATTACTGACTATCCTGTTTGCTTATTGGCCATTTTTATATTTTTGTTGGAGAAATGTCAATTCAGACCTTTTGCCCATTTTAAAATTAGGTTATTTTTCCTTTCATTTTTGAGCTGTGAGTTCTTTAAATATTCCATATACAAGTCTTTATCAGATATATGACTTGCCAATATTTTCTTCCAGTCTGTGGGATGCCTTTTTACTTTTTTGTCTTATGTTCTTTGAAGCACAAGAGTTTTTCCTTTTGATGAAGTCCAAGTTATCTTTTCTTTTTTTCAATGTGTTTTTGGTGTGCCTTTGGCAAGAATCCATTGCCAAATCCAGTGGCATATTTTTACACCTATGTTTCTTATAAGAGTTTTAGAGTTTTAGCTCTTACACGTAGGTCTTTGACCATTTTGAATTAATTTTTGCAGATGTGAGTTAGGACTCCATCTTCATTCTTTTGCATGTAGATATCCAGTTGTCTCAGCACCATTTGTTGAGAAGACTGTTCTTTCCATTTTGAGTAATCTTGGCACCGTTGTCAGAAAAAAATGACCATAGTGTATGGGTTTATTTCTGGACTCTTCATTCTAATTCATTGATGTATATGGCTGTCTTTATGCCAGCATCACAATGATCTGATGACTGTTGCTTTGTGTAATAAGTTTTGAAATTGGGAAGTTGGAGTTCTCCAACTTATTCTTCTTTTTCAAGATTGTTTTGTCTGTATGAGTCGCTGGAGTCTCCATATGAATTTTAGGATAAGCTTTCATTTTCTAAAAAGATATCGCCTGGGAATCATAGGGATTGTGTGGAATTTGTAGATCAATTCTGGGAATATTCATGAGACTTGTGTTTGAAGTAAGGAGAAAGAGAATTAGAATATTTTGGCCTATGTCTGGATTCATTGACAGAACTTGGGAAACTGGAAAAGAAGGTGGTGAGTATATGCATTTTAGACTCTGAGCTTAAGATGTTGCAGGACACCCAAGTGGAATGTCCCATGGACAACTGGAAGCATGTGGTACAGGTCTAGGAGAGAAGTGAGAACTGTGAGAGCAGTGTTAAAGTGATGAGGGTCAGTGAGATCGCTGACAGAGAGAAAAAGGAAGCACTGGGGCCAGAGCTTCAAGGAGTGTCCCTAATGAGAGGGAAGGAGCAGGAAGAGGAACCAGGGCATGAGGAACCAGAAATGTGAGGGGAAAATCAGGTGTGCCTGGTGTTAGGGAAGCCATGGGAGAAAGAATGTGGCCCAAAGAGCTTGCTTCAGGGAGGTTGAAGAAAGTGAGGGCTGGAGGAACACTGAATTCTCAGTTTGAACAGGGGCCTTCTACTGTGTGCCCTCCAGGGAAAATTCATAGCACCTTGGGATAATGCCTTATGGAAGAGGGTAAGAGTCAGTATGTGTGGAGCCGCCTGGTTCTCTTGAATCCACTACTTGGGAATATAACATCTTATGGGAGCTGAGGGCAGGGCTTGTCCCACTCATAGCTTTCTTTCCTCCCTCAGCTCAACTTGCTTCCCCAGTTCCTGCCTTTCCTAAAGTGGGGAACTCAGAGACCAAGCAGCAACAACTGTGCCTTGGATGGTCAGGCCCTAGGTGAGCTTGGTTCTTTCTGTTTTTCCCAAGTTCCCACGTCTGTGGCCCAAGAGTGGCTAGAGCTCTCACCTCCAGGACTCTGCCTCATCTGGGACTATTCCTGTGGCTCTCCTGCCTAATTGCTTCCCCTGGAGCTGGGTCCCTACTGCTGAGTTAATGGACTCTGTCTTTCCCTGGACTTGTCCTTTTGGAATTGTCGTCCCAGCTCCTGTCTCCCACCCCTTTGCCCACCAAGAGCCTGTACCCTGTGCCCTTTGTAGCCCTGATGACTCTGCCCTTCAGATCGGGAATGTTCCTGAACAATAGCAGCTTGTTATTCCAGAATATTGTGGCGTATGAGGACCTGTCTGTGGACTATACTGAGAAGAAGTGGAAAGGTCTGGCCTTTTACCGGAACATGATACTGGAAAATAACCACAGTGCGGCCTCATTGGGTAATAATTCTGTTCCTCAGTAACTTAGAGTCTGCATTCTGTACATTTTCTTTGCTATATTCTTTGTCTTTTTTACCTTTTCATTAGGAAAATTTCCAAACATAGATAAACTAGAGTAAATAGTATAGTGAACCTGTCTGCACCCATAACTCAGCTTTACAAGGGTCAACATTCTCTTTACTTCATTACTGATTGACATAGGGTGGTTTAGTTGGGGTTTTTTAGTTGTAAGGAATGGAGAGTCACTCAAGTTCTTGTAAGTAAGGAGCTCTGTGTTATAAGGCTCCAAGGAACAAGAACCCAGAACAAACCGATCAGCTAGACCACACTGTGGGAAACAGGGACTTGTAGAGACTGAGCCTTGACCCAGGGCAGCCTGGGAGCCTGAGTAGCAAAAGCAAATGAATTTTTATGCCCATGTTCTGGAGTGAATATAAGGCAGCTACTTGCATTTTATCAGTTTTCTCTCTGCTTGTCCTGTTGCTGCTACCCATTTAATTGACTCTGAATCTTTTGTCCCTCTCATAGCTCCTTCCTAATTGTTCCCTCATATTTATTGTTTACTGTGGCTCCTAATGGCTTGACTTCTCTCCATGCACCATTTCAGCTTCCTTCCTACTCATAATTACCTAAATTTTTCCCTACTTCAAGTTCCACATTTACTTAGAGAGGGATTCTGGTTGCAACAGCCATTAAATATCCTCTCTGTTTGGACAGAGCTTTGGCCCAGGCCATGGCAGAGGCTGATAACTAACCTAAAGATAAGCTTCCCTTGAGTCTAGTGCCTGGCACTGGTCCAGTCACCTGTGGTCCATCCTGGGATACTCGGAATCACTTATACAAAGCATGGTTGCCTAAGCATCCCTCTCTGCAAAGACTGGGACAGTTTCCTGGAAGATTTATTGTCAAGGAAGTTCCTGTGATTGACAAGCTTAGGACATTAGCCAACTCTAGAGAGGGTTGGGCTACTGACCCAGACATCTTTGATTTTCCACAGGCTAAATGGCATGACAGCTGTGGCTCTAATTAAAGCATGACTAAAAGAAACCAACATTTTGGTGTTTAGCTATGACCATGATTACTCTTTATTTCCACATTTTGTATTTAAAAATTCCAGAATTCAAGGCAAATATTCACCCATTAAGTTTCCTTTATATTCTATAAAATCAAGATCCCAAAGACACATTTTAATTCATATTTCAATTATTGCTGCTCCTCTTAGTTTTTGTAGGAGTACAGAACTGGTTCATACCAGTTCAGTGCTCTGGGGACATTAGCATCACCACTGTTAGAGCTCTGCTTTCCCTTCAACACTGTTCCTCAGCATTTCTGAACCCATAGTTTCTTCAAATCTTGTCACTGTCCTATCATACAAGATCTCTCCTTTTTGTAAACTTTTGTAATCATACCCTCATAATATAAATCTGCAGTTAACTCCCATCTTTTCCTTCTCTCTTTCTTATATTTGACTTGAGGTATTAATATTTGCTAGCATTCTGTCTCCCTGCATTGTTTTTGAGAACCATAGAACCACACAGTGTTGTGGTTGGAAAGCAACTTAAAGTTCATCATTTTACTAAGGACACATAGCACCGGAGTGACTTCTGTAGGAATACACCATACTTTACAGTATGGTCTCTTGCTTTCTGATGTCCCTTCTAATTTGGCTGTATTGGCTGAATGTTGGCTAATGTTGGCTGTCCTGGAATCTTTTTCCTACCTTCCTCCACTGACTATTTTCCCCTCTCTGTTTTTTAGCCCTGGAGGAAAGAAAAAAATGGGCTACTTCCTATATCCTCTCCTGTTCTCTATGTGTCGTCTTATTTCTTAACCATAATGTGGCTTCTCCTTAGATACATAGCCTGTAAATGATTCTGTTTGCTCAGTAGAACAAGAAGTAAGTAAAAGTTTTCTTCTTTGTTTTGGCAGCAGGTAGAAACATGATGGAGAGTTCAGAGTTGACGCCAAAGCAGGAAATTTCTAACGGATCAGAGTCATCTGATAGGATACCAGGGGGACTCTTTGGGCTGGTTCCTGGGGGAACAGTGGCTGGAGATGTCCATGAAGATACTTTCGAGAAGCTAGAAGTGCCACCCTCAGATGAAGAAGGGAGCAGACTAGAAAGTGCTTTCTTGGGAATAACAGGTAAGGATAAGAAAAAATCCACAAAAGACAGGTGTGAGGAACATAAGAAGATCAGGGAACATCAAAATCTGTCTTCTAGTCCTGCTGAACATGAAGGAACTCTAAAGGGACAGAAATCCTATCAGTGTGATGAATGTGGCAAAGCTTTCAGTTGGAGTTCACACCTCATTGGCCATCAGAGAATCCACACTGGAGAGAAACCCTATGTGTGTAATGAATGTGGTAAGACTTTCAAGCAAACCTCTCAGCTCATTGTTCATCTCAGAACACACACAGGGGAAAAGCCCTATGAATGCAGTGAGTGTGGAAAGACCTATCGGCACAGCTCCCATCTCATTCAACACCAGAGACTTCACAATGGAGAGAAACCTTATAAATGTAATGAATGTGGAAAAGCTTTTAATCAGAGCTCCAAACTCTTTGACCACCAGAGAACTCATACTGGGGAGAAACCTAATGAATGCAAGGAGTGTGGGGCAACCTTTAGTCGGAATAAAAATCTTGTGCGACATCAGGTCCTTCACAGTGGTAAGAAACCTTACAAGTGTAATGAGTGTGGGAGAGCTTTCTGTTCCAATAGAAATCTCCTAGACCATCAGAGAATCCACACTGGGGAGAAGCCTTATGAGTGTAATGAATGTGGCAAGGCCTTCAGTCGGAGCAAATGTCTTATTCGACATCAGAGCCTCCACACTGGGGAAAAGCCATACAAATGTGGCGAATGTGGGAAAGCCTTCAGTCAGAATTCTCAACTGGTTGATCATGAGCGAATTCATACTGGAGAAAAACCTTTTGAATGTAGTGAGTGTGGTAAGGCATTCAGTTTGAGTAAATGTCTTATTCGGCACCAGAGACTTCACACAGGTGAAAAGCCCTATAAGTGCAACGAGTGTGGTAAATCCTTCAATCAAAACTCCTACCTCATTATACACCAGAGAATTCACACTGGTGAGAAACCCTATGAATGTAATGAGTGTGGAAATGTCTTCAGTTATAATTCCAGCCTTATGGTACATCAGAGAACACATACTGGGGAAAAACCCTATAAATGCAACGATTGCGGAAAAGCCTTTAGTGACAGCTCACAGCTTATTGTGCACCAGAGAGTTCACACTGGAGAGAAACCTTATGAATGTAGCGAGTGTGGGAAAGCCTTTAGTCAGCGCTCCACTTTTAATCACCACCAGCGAACTCACACTGGAGAGAAGCCCTCAGGTCTGGCTCGGTCAGTTTCTTAAGGCATGGTTCTCTGAGACAGAGAGTGAAGACCTTTGAGTTAAGTTTTCTTTATAAGAAGATGCTCACACCGTGGTTTCCCCCGGGAGTCACTAATCAGTGTGGACCGTTGCCTGCCTGATTTCCTTTGGGTCGCTAAGGTGGGAGAGTGGGAGTAACTTAGTGTGATCCTTACCCACTATTAGGAAAGTAAGGACTACACATTTCATTTACTTGTAGGTTTCCTTCTCCCTTTCTTTGTTAAACTGTTTTAAAATCTAATTCGTTAGTGTGCATTCCATAATCAGATTCTGTGTTTCTCAAGAACAGCGATTATATCTTCTTTATTCTACTGCAATTCCTCCATTTCATCACTTACATGAAGTCATTCTACAAGGTTATTCTTTCCTGCTTCTTGGCTGTCACCTTACACAGCTACTTTTTAAATTTATATTGTAATCTGTGTCCTCTCATCATTTTTATTTTCTACCTAGAAAACCTTTTCTTCCTGTTTGGTAATCATGTCTCATAATGTTCAAGATTCATCTCATCTCTGAAAGGCTTTCTTCTTCAAATGCTTCTTCACTCCTCTTGTTAACTTCTATTGATTTGACTTCAATGCTTTAAATTAGCTGGTGCTACAATGTGCAACTGTTGTTAAATTGCCCTGCAAATTGTTCTCAACTTAATGCGTATTTGTATAATTTCATACCAACTTGTAGGCTCTTGAGATCAGGTGTGGTGTCTATTTCTTTTAACATATAGATAATACTTTGAGTATGCTAGTTCTTAAATATGTTTTGAAACTCAGCTCTCAAATTGAACCATTCTTAACATGGGCGTGGTCTCTCCCCCTGCCCCCATCACATTTACTGGACTAGAAACTTCTGAAGATGGAAGTGGCATCTCCTCATAGTATATCACATACAAAACCTCATTGATATCTTCTATGTCCACGGTCCCCAAACCCTGGGCCACTGCCCATTACTGGTCTGTGGCCTGTTAGGTAATGGGCCGTGCACCACTGCCTGAGTGCTGCACCACACTACCCCCACCCATGACACCCTACCCCCTCATCTCCAGTCCGTGGAAAAATTGTCTTACATGGAACTGGTCCCTGGTGCCAAAAAAGTTGGGGACCGCTGTGTGTTGCCTTGGAAGTTTTACTATTTTATTATTTACTATTGGTACTTCAGCCTTTAAGAGCTAATGGATTTGTGTGTGAATGAATACCTGTGTATTGGGTTGGGCAGTCATAACCCACTCATTTGTACTTTGACTTGCATGCTTATTTAGTTCTGAACTAAAGCTGACTACATCCTGCTTCCTAAATAAAGTTTGCAGTCAAAATTTACTGCAAAGAAGACTTGACTTTAATGGCTGTGGTACGGATGATTGAAAATCCCAGCTAGGAGCATCCCTGGATGATTGGAATTCACAGTGATGAGGTGGTTTTTTTTTTTTGTTTTTTTTTTTTTTTTTGAGACAGATGCTCACCCTGTTGCCCGGGCTAGAGTGCCGTGGCATCAGCCTAGCTCACAGCAACCTCAAACTCCTGGGCTCAAGTGATCCTTCTGCCCCAACACTCTCAGAGTGCTAGGATTACAGGCGTGAGCTACCACACCTGGTGTTTACTTTCATCTTTTGTTTTTTTGTTTTTGTTTTTTGTTTTGAGACAGGATCTCATTCTCTCACCCAGGCTGGAGTGCAGTGGCATCATCATAGCTCACTGCAGCACTTGAGCCTCACTGTTCTCAAGTGATCCTCCCACCTCCTGAGTAACTGGGACTACAGGCATGTGCCACCACACCTGGCTAATTTTTCTTATTTTTTGTAGAGACAGGGTCTCACTATGTTGGCCAGACTGGTCTCAAACTTTTGGGCCGAAGTGGTCCTCCCACCTCTGCATCCCAGTGTGCTAGGATTATAGGCCTGAGCCATTGCACTCAACTCTTTGGCCCATCTTTTGAAAACATGTTGAAATCTTTTGTAAACCTTTGTTTCCTCCCCTGTTGTCTTTTAGGTTAGTACTTTTATTTCCTTCCTGTCATTTTTAAGATGTTTTAGAAGGGAGAAGAGATATTAATAAATACGTGTGTTCAGTTTACCATTTTTTAAAATTCAAAGTTGTTTATCAGCATTTTTAGTAAGCTTCCCAGATGATTCTGATGTATATGAAAATGTGAGAATCACTGGTTCAGAGCTTTACAAATATAGATTGGATCTGGGGGTAAAGCTTTTTTTTTTTTGAGACAGAGTCTCACTCTGTTGCCTGGGCTAGAGTGTGTTCCGTGGTGTTAGCCTCGCTCACAGCAACCTCAAACTCCTGGGCTCAAGCAATCCTCCTGCCTCAGCCTCCCGAGTAGCTGGGACTACAGGCATGCGCCACCATGCCCAGCTAATTGTTTCTATATATATTTTTTTAGTTGTCCAGATAATTTCTTTCTATTTTTAGTAGGGACGGGGTCTCACTGTTGCTCAGGCTTGTCTCGAACTCCAGACCTTGAGTGATCTACCTGCCTCAGCCTCCCAGAGTGCTAGGATTACAGGCGTGAGCCACTGCACCCGGCCAGTGATGAGGTTTTTGGCAAGATAAAAAATCAGACTAATATGTTTTCCTTATCAGCTGGCCATATCTAACTACAACTGCCATCTTAATGTCAAGATGAGAGCTGTACCCTTAGTTATCAGGCCATCTTTCATTCCCCAAAGACATAAGAAACAGGAAATCTCAGAGGACTTCCCCTCTTTTTACAGTCACATATCAGTCATGAACTTGAACAAGCTTTCCCTTCCACCCTTGCAGTTGGGCCCCAGTCTGCAGGACCTTTGCCTCTGGTGTCCACCCGCTTCTCTTTCCATCTCCCAAACTTCCTCTTAACAGACTGACAGGATCAGCAGTGTGACAGAGGTAGAGAAGGGGGCTAGAGGGGCAATGTCAGATATGTAACCTGGAGGGGATTTCATGAGCTACGATTTATGTCCCAGTCAGTGGAGAAGAAAGGGAAGAGACTTGAGGCTCAAGAAAATAAGAAATGTGATTTTGGGGGAGACATCTCAGGCAAAGTTAGAAAGGATTATTGGGAACCTAAAGTTTTTCAGGGCCTATAAAGATTACTGAACTCAGGATACAACTGGAAATTTGCTTTTTGTGAATGTGTATTTTAAATGTTTTCAGCTATATTTTTGGTATTTTTATTTTCCTTAAATGATATGCATATAGGGCTTTTTTTTTAAACTGTTTTACAATACTTTGGGAGATTTCAGATCCCAGGGAAGAGCCTGACCCTGTATGAACACATGGGTCCAATCCTCCACTCTGAGTTGGGCATTTCTGATCATGTCTTCAGTAGAACCATCCTGACTACTGAATGCTACAGTTTTACCTTCTGGTTCTTGTCCGCTCATCCCTACCATGCTAAGCCTCTGGAAGGTGGGCACTTGGACTATTCATAATTGTATGTGCCTACTACCACCAATCTGGTGTAGGTGCTCAGTAGAAGTGAATGCCCTGACATCCTGAAACAGCCTCAGGCTCTTGGATGCAGGAAAACTGGCTGCATTTGAAAGCCATACCTCAATTTCTATTAGTTATTCCTAGTATAAGCTTTAATTTAAAAAACTTTTTAAAATCTGGATTCACTTACCTTGCTATATTGTTAGTTTTAATAGTTTTTTAGTTCCATTTTCTGGCTTTTCTATAGATATATAAAAATGATTTATTTATCTCTTAATTTATGCCACTTATGTTGTGCATTAGCAAGAACTTCAAAAACTGTTTAATAGATTACAGGCATTCCATATCTTTTTCTTAACTCTTAAGGGGGATGGTTTTAGTATTTCACAGTTTGTTATGGTGTTCCTTGTTAGGGTCTGATAAATATTCTATTGCATTTAGGGTGTTTCCTTCTAATCCTAATTTTAGAAGAAACTGTGTAGTACAGTGGTTAAGAGCAGAAATTTTGTGCTCAGTGCCCTAGGTTCAAATCTTGGGTCCACCACTTTATTAGGTGTATGACCCTGGGCCAATCACTTAGTTTCCTTGTATCTTAGTTCCTCCATCTGTAAAATGAAGCTACCTCATATGGTTGTGAGGATTACATTAGTTCATATATGCGAGTTCATATGTGTAAGGTACTTAAAACAGTGCTTGACACAGAGTACATAGTTTTGCAATTATTATTTATTAGGAATGGTTGCTAAGTTCTATCAGGTTTTTAAAAATCCATTCTAATTTTCTGGGGTATGTCCTCTCTGTCCTTTTTTTTTTTTTTTTTTTGGTAATTCATTTTGTTGACAAGTTTCCAAATACTTGAAATTTTCTTATAGTTTTTTTTTTTTTTTTTTTTGAGACAGAGTCTCACTCTTTTGCCCGGGCTAGAGTGAGTGCCGTGGCATCAGCCTAGCTCACAGCAACCTCAACCTCCTGGGCTCAAACGATCCTCCTGCCTCAGCCTCCCAAGTAGCTGGAACTACAGGCATGTGCCACCATGCCCGGCTAATTTTTTTCTATATATTTTTAGTTGGCCGATTAATTTCTTTCTAATTTTTAGTAGAGACGGGGTCTCGCTCTTGCTCAGGCTGGTCTTGAACTCCTGAGCTCAAACAATCCGCCCGCCTCGGCCTTCCAGAGTGGTAGGATTACAGGCGTGAGCCACCACACCCGGCCCAAAATTTCCTTATAGTTTTTGAGTAAAATCTATTTGTTCATAGTGATTGTTGTTGTTAAGTGCAAACTAGATTCCATTTGGTAATGTTTTGCTGGCTTTGCAAAATGAATTCGGAAGGATTTTTTTTTCCTCTTTTATTACTGTGGAGAGTTTGCATCACTTGGGAATTAATCCTGGAAGGCTTACTAGAAGTAACTGGGCCTGATTCCTTTTTGGCATGGGTAAGGGGTTTGGAAGGGACATATCTTTAGCAACTGTTTTAGTTTGAGCTCTGTAATGAAATACCTTAGACTGGATGGCTTGAAAAACAGATATTCCTTATAGTTCTGTACACTTGAAAGTCCAACATGAAG